ACTAATTCCTGTTTTTCATATACCAAAAAGAATAATTATAGGTACCTAAGCATGGTATGTAAAGGGATATGACCCCCCCAGTATCATCGGTTCCCTAAAGAGACAGAACTCTCAATTTTTCAAATGTTAAATTTATTAGTATTTAATAAATATGAAATAACACTTTCAAGACTGAGACATGAGGACTATACTATAGTACCTCACTCTCAGGAATAAGACTATTAGTAAGAGGATTTGAGGCTATGGTTAAATACAGTAAAGTTTAAATTGTTCATTGCTACATTCCAAATTTAGTAAAACAATTTAGTAACATGTCTTTTTTCTAAGGTACATTTTAAAGTATCCACAAATGAATTTAGATCTAAGTGTTTCTAACACACACACACACAAACAAAAATAAAATGCAGTTTGCTCCTTTATCCTCAACAACCAACATTTGAAGTAAAAGTCTCTACTGATAAGTCAGTGTAAGTTATGTAGTTCTATCCCAGGAAAACATTATTTTTGGCATATAAAAAGATGTGCAACAAAATCACAAAAGACGTCCAACAAAATGTGTAGCAGTTATAGAAATGAAAGCATATTCACCCCTCTGAACACAGACCAGGCATGTGAATAGCCTTGCTATCATGAAAAGGGATATATGACAGACATAACTAGGTTAATATCTAACACCTTATCATTTGATCTCCCACTTTTAAGTCGTCTAGTTTTGAATATTTTCTGTTTTCTTTCCAACTGGGTTTTTTTCTCTAGTTTGTTAGCATTGTTAGCTTTTTTGACTCTTTGTTTTGTGTTTTTGTTTTCAGTATATGAAATCCAGGATGGGTGAATCTATAGAGACACTAACTGGTTCCTCAAGGGTACAGTAGGAGAGGTTGGGGGGAAATGGGGAGCCAATAACAAGGAGTAGAAGTAAAAATAAAGTGTTCTAAAGTTGCCTGTGGTACTGAGTGTACTACACTTTTTGATATGATTGAACTATCAAATTATACGCTATTTGGATATCATAATAATATGTCCCAATAAAACAGTTAAAAAAATAAAGTGTTAAGAAGCAAAAAAGAAAGTGTATTCAACGATTTTCCTTGAGGATATGGAAAAATATATGCAAGGTATTTATCGATTAGCAAAAAATAGAGGTTTAGAAAAAGCAATTATATTAACGTGATTTTAAAATTATCATTACATCTCCAAAGTCATCTCCTACCACTCTCTTCTACTAGGACTCTGCTATTGTTGGCCTGGCTTCTTTGTGTTTCTTTAAGCATATAACGTACACTCCCATTTTAGGGACTTATCGATCACTGTACTCTCTGCTTGGGAATCTTTTCCTGCAAATACACACATAGTTCATTTCCCACTTTATGAGAAAGAATACTGCAAAAAGGTCCACTGTTCTAGATGCAGGATTTCCCTTAAGCACACATTTGGTCCTATGCAAATAGTTTCCTAAGTAAATAAAACATCATGTTTCTGTATTCACAAAGGGCACTGGCCCCTGTCCATGACAAGTACAGTCTGATGGTTGAATAGACAGAACGCTACTGGACAAAATACTATCATGGTTTCAGGATGGTTGGGAAGTCACCTTTGTGACCACAGGCCACAAATGTGAAACTAACATGGTAATCAAAAAGTCAGGGCATATTTTTCAGTTCACCAGTTAAGTTAAAGGATGTTTTGGCCACTCATCACTGGACAACACAAATAATAATGTGTGTCATTGATTTGTGTAGAAAATGGTTGATGGTGGATTAATGATTTCCTTCTGGCACAGCAATAGCAACTTTTCACTTCGTTCAAATTCTCGACTTATACATTCTTATAGTTTCCCTCTTTACTTCATCTCTATCTCTGCTTGATGTCTAACTCATTAGAATGGACTTTCAATAAAAAAGAGTACTCTCTCTTTTAATATTTTCTCTTACTAATTATCATAATTCAGATATTATGTTTTGTGTTTATCTGCATTGCCTCCCTTCCCTCCTTTAGGATTCATGCTCCATAAAAACAGGTTCTCTGTTTTGATCCTGTTTTATCTATAGCACTTAGAAAAGTACTTTTACATAATGAGAACTCAATATTTATGGGATGGTTTTAAGTCTTACTCATCCAATCACCCTTTATAATACCACAATGTACGAATGATTCTTGCTCTTTTTTTTCTAGATAAATATCTAGAAAACTAGGACTAAAATGGAAGGGAATTGCAGTGTCATCTAATAACACTGCATCAGGGGTGAAAAAAACATGTATACAAAAAACACTGATAGTATGTGTGCATTATTCATATTAAAGCTATTACCTTATAACTAAACAGCTCTATGAAGCTTTGACTTTGTATTGGTTTATTATCTGGATCTGGACCCACATACATGCGATGTGCACGTTATTCAATATTAAAAACAAAATGCGGGCAAAACTGCATACCTGTTAAGGAATTCATTTTAGCATAATGTTAACACTTTGATATTCACTTGTGTACTTATAAAACCATTTATTTTAGAGTAAATGAAATTGTATATATATATATCAGTATGTGTACTAATATATATGTTACTTCATAACTAAATATTCTGTTATTGAAGAAGCATGAGAACAGATAAAATATTTGTTACAATGCTATGGATGAAATAATAGGGAAAAAGAATTTAGCAGGTTAGGTGTTTAGAAACACAGATGCTGAGTTAGTAAGCAACTGGGACACAAGATAAAAATGAAAACTGACTTCAGGTCTAACAATAAGCATACTTTTATATGCATACTCTTAGTGTGGAATATTGATACAGCATTGTTCCTAAACTCATAACATACTTATAATTGACTTGTATAGAAATATATTTTGATTTTCAAATCCCCAAACCAGTTTATTAATATAAATTTATACTGGCTTTAAATTCCTTTTTAAAACTAAATGCAATTGCTCCATATTAGCAATGTAGCATATTATCTACTCATTGTCTGTATTATTTGTACAAAGCTGTATGATCTAAAGAATGTCACAGTGAATATTGTATTGATGCAATAATTCCCCAAACAGTTTTTGTTTTTGTTTTTAACTCTTTAAGTTCACTGAAAGGATCTCAAGTTGCTGCCCACAGGTCCGAATCATCCCCTTGTGCCTCCTGATCTCATTGAAAAAGAGAGATGCAAGAGAGAAAAGATGTCAGAAAGGTCTTTCTCACTCTCCTGGTCTAAGGCATGGAAGTTTTAGACTATTCCTAAATTAGTACAAAAATTAATAATCCATTATAAGAACGTCAACATACTCTCATTTCTCTTCAACCTAAGGTATTTCTAGGAATATCTATATTACTTTAAGAAATTATTAATTTCCCGTTGAAACTATAGGACATTTAACTGATTTTTTATTAGAATATGAAAACTGCCTAAAGGGAAAACAAAAGAGAAATGGATCTTTTTAAAATACCATGTTGTGACACTTTACATTTTATCTAGCATGTCCTTCTAGTAACTAATTTATTGTAGACATATCCATTCTAGAAAATCAATTCAGAGATCATGAAATAATTGTGTCTGTAGATAATAGTGGGTAATTTGAATTTATCTACAATCACGTTAAATGTCTTATTAAATATATCAGTTTTTCAAACTTTTTTTCACGATGCAGATAGAACATTTGAAAACTTGCTGAATCTAAAAAGATGGACTTTATATTACTTTGAAATCTTAACTGGACCAAACATAAGTTGGAATCCCAACAGTTATATAGCATTTATTTGGGGAAATTTATACACATTTTTAGGTCTTAAGAAGTCTATTCCATAAAGGATTGAATGTGATACTTAACATAATTTTAATAAGTCTTCTTATTAAATGTGTGCTTACATTTTAACAAGACTGAATTTCTTTAAAGATATCATTTTCCAAAGTTAATGTTTTCTGTGCTATAATATTATTATAAAGCTTTAGTTTTTACTGAAATTGTTGTAAATTTCAGGAATCTTGATATACTCAGGAAACTTATATTAAGAAAATATATATGCACTTTTTCTTGTCTATACGTAGGTAGAGACACACATCATACCAAATACCACTTTTCCAAATAAATTAGCATAGCTTCTCATTGCCCTGTTATGTAACTTAAATAAACAAACGATATTTTATAGTGTTGCTTTCGCTCTTTATTCACTGTGAAGCTTACCAATTGTGCCTAAATATACTAGAAAACATAACAATTTGTTGATGAAAATTAAAATATATAAAGTTCCACTAGGGTAAATTATATATGCCAATCTTGTAGAACAGAATATAATTTTCTTCTTTACAAACAATACTGGTGGATATAAAAATAAATATAGAATCATGTTTTATGAACTATATGCGAAGAACAATTACTTGTCCCATTTTAATAGCTGACATGCCATTTCCTATTTAAAGAACTCATAGCTGTAAGTAGCATTTCATTATCTGACTTAAGCAGGATATTTTCACAATTGAAAACTAGCTATAAAAGTAATACAACTTGAAATAAATCTCAAATGCTAATAGAAGCTGTTCCAAATTCTCACATAAAGATAATACATGTATCAAGTGGCAAGATATAAACTATGTACGAAGGGACTGCTAATGATGTGCTGAGCGGTCAAAGATTTTATTTTGTCAATGTTCCTCTAACTCACAAAAAGAGATATGATTCATCACGCTTGCACTCAGAATCACAAAAGCTACTTGAACACCCATACCACATAGAATACTTACAAAAGACTAGTAATTATAATAAACAACTTTTAGAACTTCAATAAAATTTTTGATTTCACATAGATATAAACTCATAACATTCCATGTAACTATCAAAACATAGATACTATTGTCACATTTCCCTTATAAAGTTAAAGGAAATGGGTTCCTGCAGATTCTGATGACGTATAGATTCAGAGATTACCATGGCATTTTCTATTTAAACCCTAAAGGAACGTTTTAGAGGATAAGCTAAACTAGGATATGGTTGTCATTTATGGAATGAAACCTCCTACCTCCCTGTAGAATCTTTTTTGCTGTTATCAGTCCTCAATTCCAAATCCCGTGAGCATTTTTCACAAGGTTCTTTGAACAAGTTCTTCTCTCCAACAGCTTTAGGAGTGTCTTCATTTGCTTGAAGATGCTCTCTTAGGTTTTGTTGGTGCCAATTCTGAAGATCGGCTGGGGCTGGTCTGGGCCCTGGTGCCGGTATGTTGTGGTGACCAGGACTATTGCTTTTCTTCAGTCCCTTTCTGTCCCAAGGGTGGTTCTTCAACCTACCCTGAACCGGGGACCCTCTATGCCCATATCCTTCCTGCTGAAGGCAGCTTCCAGTGTTAGGTGAACCTTGAGCTGGGTGACTGAACCACCTCCAGCGTAGCCTGAGGATCTGTTTCACATCAAACTCTTTCTTTCCAGACACTGACATGGTCGCAGGGGGAAAGACAAAAGCCTTCTCTCAAAGAAAGGAAATGGAGCCTTTCTTTTCCGCTCCTCAGCCTCTTCGGTTGAACTAACAAAAGCACAACTACCCAGAGGAAGCTTTTTCCCTCTCTCTCCCCCACCTCTGCCGGTGGCACACGGTGAATACTGTGAGCCTCCTCTAGCAGAAGCACACATTTGCAGCTGTGTAGGTGGGAACTCATTCTGACAGGATGATGAGGTCAGACCTTAAACAAGTAAATCAGCTTAGCACAGGAAAGCAGCTACAACAACACATTCAAGCTGCTAGATTTGCAGGCTGCAGCCTCCCCAAATGAACTTGCAAACATCGAAGCCAGCTTCTTCAGTATTTAATTACTTCAATACTCACTGCCACTGAGTACATTCCAACTCATAGCAACCCTACAGGACAGGGTAAAACAGCCCCTGTGAGTTTCCAAGATTGTAACTCTTCACAGAAGTAGGAAGCCTTGTGTTTCTCCCACTTAGTAAAGAAACTGACAAAACTCAGGCAAGTGAGCAACAGCAAAGGCTTTAAACTCACTTCCTTCTGCATTTCCCCACTAAACACGCCCACATCCCTACCACCCCCACTCACTCAGCTTCATTTCCCTAGTAGCCCACTTATTAAAATGTGCCACTTAGTCCTAGGAGATTTTGTAACAGGGGAATGAATTATAATCCATTTTTGAGTTTTCTTATGGAAATATTGAAAGTAGTTCATTAAGAAAAAGCAGCTTGCTATCAATTCTTTTATGCAGGTTTTAAATTAATTTTACAAACTGTTCTGAAAGTAGGACTGCCTCTCTTCAAACATTTGCTTTAAAACCCGAACCATTTCAGGAACACACTAAAGTACGAGTTACCCATGTTGTATTCTAAGTCTATATCTGAAACAAAATAGTGGCATTTTTCTAAACTGTTTAGGTTAGACATGTCTTCACTTAGTGCCCAAAGCATAAAAATTGAAGAGACCATTCTGGCACCATGCCTGTATAAACACTGCCTTATCATGTCCATTACTTCCACAGGCAATGCTAAAGGTTTAGTTTATTTTTCAAAATTCTGAGGAGAAGATGCAATGGAGCATAATTTGAATTAGCTACAAATCATCACACAACTCAGTAATAACTGTCCACAAAACACTTTGGAATCTGAATCACAATTACTATCCTGTACTTAAGTAAATAATTTTGAAACAGGTAGTCAGGTATCACGAATTTATTTAACAATGTCATTTTGAAATCAGGTTTTAATTTTAACCAACTCTCATGTCATGCAAACAGTTGATATGGGAGAAAGTTATACCAGTGTGTCCTTAGAAAGAATGACATTGCTGATTTTAGTTTTAGTTCTAGCTCTATCACTAATGATATCACTAATGAACTTGGACAACTTACTTCACCTCTTTGCATTTCAGTTTTCTCATATACAATTTACAGAGGTTAAAGAGATGTAATAAGTTCCAAGACAATATTAGAAAATTTAATTACTTAGAAATGGATTTCTTTTTCTAAATTCTGATTAATATTGTACCTGCAGGTTCTATAAATCCATTCCTCTCTTCTATTTGTAATCTTTCCCTTATACTGTGAAGCCAATACAATGTAGGTATATAGGTGGTTTAACTCAGCTACAAAGAGAATATACACATTTCCAACTATCCAATGTATTTTCCAACTGGCTCCTTAAACTCAGTGTTAACATCTATTATAATCTCTCCTTGGAGAATAACTAAGTGTTGCCTGTACTCAGCATGTAAATAATTGAAGAAAATCCTCATTATTTCTTCAAATGTGTCATAGGCATATTGATGAGTATTAGCAACTGAACATGAATTTCCATTCTGTTATCGAACTTGCCAGTATTCCAAGTACAACCAATGGAGTCAGCATCCATATTTCAACCCTTTCCATTCCCCACTGTACATAAAGGACAATAATGAACAAAGAATAAGCAAATTGTAAATATAAGACAAAATGAATAATGCCATATCAAAATATCATACCCAACCAAACTCACTGCCATCAAGTTGATGCCAGCTCATAGCAACCCTATAAGACTGGGTAGAACTGTCCCTGTGAATTTCCATGACTGTAATTCTTTTCTAGATTAGAAAGGCCTGTGTTTTTCCAATGGAGCGACTAGTGGTTTCGAATTGTGGACTGTGCAGTTAGCAGGCCAATGTAGAACCACTATGCAACCAGGCCTCTTCAAAATGCCATCATAGTGATATAAATAATATATGGTAGGAGCCGAAAAGGAAATATGCTAATCTTCACTTATCTATATATTTAGTTTACAAAGGTCATACGGTTATAGAAAATTGGGGAGTTATATGAGGGTAGGGGGTCATTCATTGTCTTCGGTGCCAGTGTTTCCCCCTTGACTCACAACCCCACCTCATCTCTTGGGCTATGACTATCACAATGAGCCCCCTTCCTCACTACATCTTTCCCACCAGAACAGAACCCATGGGGGTTTGGATTATGGTTGTTGGTGCTACCCACTGCCTACAACATCCTGCAGCCTGCCATGGGTAGGGATCTTGCTGGTGCTCCATCTGCCCCAGCCTCAGAGCTCCAAGTTGTCCCCTTCCTTCTTCTCCCCTTCTATGTCTTCCCACTGATTTCCTCAGCACCTTTGGGCTATGACCCAAATTTCCACAATGAGCCATAACCTCACGTAGTCCCACTATTGCCCCATATTCTCTTATGGATGAACCAAGACATCCAGAACAAAAGGGAGAAGACATTCAGCGACCAGCTGGACATTGTCTCTTGCATGCTCTGATCATTTCCGGTGACTCACAAAGCCCAGACTATCAGAGGTACTGCCTGAAAATATTTTCAACGTTGTCCTACATGTGAAATGTTGCATAAAAAGAAAGTCCACAAGTGAGGAGTTTGGGGAAAAGGTTGAGACTCTCTGCTCCCATAAAGAGTTACAGTCTTGGGAATCTTAGGAGTGGTTCTACTTTGTCCCTTTGTCCCATCAGGTCTCTGTAAGTCACAGTCCACTCAATGTCAGGGTTTCATTTTTTCATTTTGTCTTTTTATTAATTTAAAACCAAAATCACACTCACAGCCATCATGACACTCAAGAATAATAGGGACCCTATAGTAGAGGAAAACTGCTCCTGTGATTTCTGGAAGCTGTAAATCTTCACAGGAGAAGTTAGCCTTATCTTTCTCCTACAGAAAATGTGGTATGTTCTAACTGCTGATATTGTGGTTAGCAGCCCAACACATAACTCACTATGCCACCAGGGATCCTTGTTTTAGGCGTATTAAATTAGTTATCCAAGTATTTCTAAATAATACCTTCTAGGAAACTATAAGGTTTCCTTGTTTTCCTAATATGTATTTGTTTTTGTAACACTTCCTGAACTTGTTATGGTTCATTTACTGTTGTTGTTAGGTGGTACTGAGTCAGTTCTGACCCATAACGACCCTATGCACAACAGAACAAAACAATCCATGGCCCTCCACCATTCTTAAAATTGTTTCTATGCCCGAGTCAATTGTTGCAACCATGGTGTCAATCCATCTCATGGAGGGTCTTTCCCTCCTCCACTTTCCCTTTACTTTACCAAGCATGATGTCCTTCTCCAGGATCTGGGCTCTCCTGACAAGATGCCCAAAATATGCAAGACAAAGTCTTACTTTACCTGCTCCTAAGGACCACTTTGGCTTTACTTTTTCCAAGACAGATCAGTTTGTCTTTTCAGCAGTCCATGGTATTTTAAAAATTATTCTCCAGCACCGCGAATTGAATGCATCAATTCTTCATCAGTTTCTCTATTCGATGCCCAACTTTAACATGCATATGAGGCAATGAAAAATACCATGATGGGGTCTGGTTTACATTAGGCCTCCAAGTAACATCCTCAATTTCAATACTCTAAAGAAGTCTTGTATAACAAATTTACCTAATGCAGCTCATCCCTTGATCTCTTGATAGCTGCTTCCATGAACATTGAGCGTGGCTTCAAGCAAGATAAAATCCTTGACAACTTCACACTTTTCTCCATTTGTTATGATGTTACCTATTGTTTCAGTTGTGAGGATTTGTGCTTAGTTTGCATTGAGTTATTCTCTATACAGAAGGCTGCAATCCGATTTCTGCCAGAAAGGGCTTCGGCAAGGTTTTGTCATATGCATATCCGAAGTTGTTAATAAAATTCCTCCAATCCTGATGCCACAGTCTTCTTCTTACAATCAAGTTCTACTGATGATTTGATCAGCATACAGATTGAATACATAGAGTGAGAGGGCACAACCCTGTTGTACACCATTCCTGAGTTTAAACCATGCAGCATTCCCTTGTTCTGTTTACACAACTGCCTACTGCCTCCTGATCCATGTAAACATTCCTCATATGCACAATGAAGTGTTCTGGAATTCCCATTCTATAATTTATTATAGTCCAAATAGTCTATGGCCTTTGCAGTCAATAAAACGCAAGTGAACAACTTTCTGGTATTCTTTGCTTTGAGCCAAGTTCCATTTGACATCAGCAGTGATATTCCTTGTTTCATATCGTCTTCTGAATCTGTCCTGAACTTCTGGTGGGTCCCAATCAATGGATGGCTGCAACTGTTGTTGGATGATCTTCAGCAAAATTTTACTTGCATGCTATATCAGTGATATTGTTCAACACTTTAAACGTTCTGTTGGGTCACCTTTCTTTGCAATGGTCACAAATAAGGAACTCTTCCAGTCAGTTGGCCAAGTTGCTGTCTTCCAAATTTTTTAGCATACACAAGTGAGTGCTTCCAGTGCTTCATCAACTTGCTGAATCATTTCAATTGGTCTACCTGTACTATAACACCATGAACTAGTCTGGGTAATTTAGAGAAACAAATCCACAGCAACTCATGTATAAGAGAGAGTTTTATTTAAAGATTAAGTGTGCATGAAGAAAACATCCCAACTCAGTGCTGCCCAAGTCCACAAGTGTCACATTAACCCATTAACCCATATGTCCAACACCAGTCCACAAAGTCCTCCTCCATCTCACAAAACAAACACAATGA